GATGAATAACACGAAATCTGTTGTCTCTTGAGAATCCTCAAAGTTGTGCAGCACAGCCATCGACTTTGACTCGCGCGTAGTCTCAATCCGGTTCGAGTCTAAGCAGCCGATGAGTCCGATGCATTGTGTACAGGCGCCAGCTACGACGATGTCCAACGTGCCGACTTTTGCTGCACAGTCTAGCAGAGACCGCAAGAGTGTGGTGACGACACTGTCGGGCTGCTCGCTGATGGCCGAACTGTGTAGGTAGCCCTGGTTGTCTTTGAGGTACTCCACCAGCTCTTCGAGCGCTAGGAGAACAACGCCTGAGTTTTGATGAGATAAGCGTTCCGCAAAGACGACGAATGCTCCCCGCGGGTCCAAAGATGGTCTCAAAGAAGAGAGCTTAGCTTCAATACTGGAAAGCTCTGGTATATCCTTGAGCGTCGGCAGAACCTTGATCGTCCTATCAACTACATCAGGAAAGTCCTTTAGGACTTGATGGATTAATGCCACTGCCATGGCCCGACATGAGTCATCGTATTGCCTCCAGTAGAATTTGATGATGAATATCGTGGGTTCCAAGAGGACCTCGATGTCTTCTTCTTCCAGATGAGTGAGCAGAGCGACCCAACATGACAACGCGGCCTTCCTCAGGTGGTCGCGTTCCAATGCGGATAGCAGGCAGGCGGTGATCTAGAATGTCAGCACAGATCAAGTGACCATGATTCAATATATCTTACCTGAGGCCGCGCACCCCGAACATAGGCTTTGCAGAGCCTGATCATCTCCTCCATGGCTCGAAGGCACTGCAGTTGTTCCTCGACTGGTGGCGCACTCAACATGCGGTCGTTAATCACATCGACCAGCCGGGAAATCGACCCTAGCATGTAAGATTCGAGAAATCGGCCGATGATGTTAGCTGAATGTTTCTTGGATCTTGGCTCCCGGTTAGGAGCCATGACCTTTGTTGCCATCCAGGTCAATGCGTTGACGATCTATGATAGCGAATCAGTCGAAAGACCACGGACAGACAAGGCCTACCAAACTTACCCGCGGCTTCCTCTCTTCGTCCGCATCACTGGCTGCTTTGAGCAGCTCGAGAATGATTGCGACTGCCTCCGACTTCATCATTTCGGCAATAGTCGATGACTCGAATCTTGACGAGAATTCACGCAACCTCGACATGATGAACTCTTCAGGATCGGGAGCGTCCTGAATCAATAGGAGGGCCATAATGGGGCCATTATTGGAGCTCTCCATGAGGCAAAAGTACGTATCCTGCTCTCGACGGGCTTCGGTGATTTTCTGCACAACATCGCGCTTTTTAAGAAGCACAAGCCAGGGCAACGCAAAACGCTGGATGAGTATGAGCAGCTGATTGACAGAAATTTGCAGCAACTCGGCAATAGCTCGACTTATTTGTGGCCTAGCCACCATGTCCTTGATCGCAAAAAAAGCCAAGTTGCCCCAGAAAGGCTCGAATAGCTGCGAGCAAGATACTTGCCGGCTGGTAGCGATGCTGAGGACCTATGCTCCTGGTTAAAGCCAGACGCAGAATTGGACGGAAATGCATACCTCGTTGAAAGCACAAGATGCTATCAGACTGTTGTTGCCTCCAAGATACTTGAGTAGTTGAAGCAGAACCAGGTTCAGCTCGTTCCCAGACACGTGCCTAGACATGTGAGAGACCTTTCACGATGCGGACGATTGACTTGACTTACCTTCCAAGCTGGCCCCCAGCCATGATGTTTGTCTCGCTAAATCCCGTGACAGCCTGCTCAGAAATGTTCTTTAACAACGAGAGCGCGGTCTTCAGATTACGACTCAAGTATAATGGGTCGCTATTGTTGGATGTTGGTGGCCGCACGAACGTCGCAAGGGTCCGCCTAATACATGTCAGCTGGCTCAAACAACAGACGTAAGAGAGAACTAACCCAGCAGCGATTCGAAGCTCACGAACAGAGCTCTGGAGAGACTGAAGACACCACTTTCCGAGCTCCGACGTCTCCAAGTCTAAACTGGCCTGGTCGTCGGCATGAACTATCAAACGTCGGAGGCACACCATAGCAACTATCCTGGGTCGCCGGGATGACAGAAACGATTCATGAGCAATGAGTTTCAGGAATATACTTGTGACCTCACTCTTGGCCCTTCCATCAGTCTGCGGGTTGCGCGGTTCAGCAACGCTGCTTTTCGCACAATACCTGCATTGTGGGTTCGAGGCCTTTTTGCTGTCTGCCTGAATGATCTCGTCCGCAAGACAGCACGTTCGGGAGAGCAAATCAATCACGGTACACTGGTCATTTTCAGACAGCTTTGGGTAGGCGTTCCTATATGGTCGTCAGCGTCTGGCATCAGAGACATGCGTTTCTTTGTGTGCCGAATATACATGAAAGACCAGTTCAGGGAAAAGTTGCTGCTCCCCGGGTCTGCACCCAATATCTTGTAAATCTGCGCAACCAGCTTGGGAAGCTTAGTGGACTCGAATGAGTTTTGCGAGAGCTTTCTGCGTTTCGGCTCGGGCTCCATAACGGGCTCGGCCGTCGTCTTCAGACCCAAGCGTTCCACTTGACGTTGCAGGCTCAGATCAGCAAAGAGTGCTGATTGACAATCCGGACTGAGTGTGTCGGGTGGTGTAGAGCCTGATGTTTCCTTCAAAACCTGAATGGATCTCTGATAAGAATGTCAGCATTTGCAATGCTACCCGAGGCACCTGCTAACGCACCCATATGTCACTTGACTTGTCCCACGAGGGGTTTTGGATAAGAAGACCGGATTCTGCGGGCAAAACGATTTTAGCCATGGAGAGGCGACCGATGCTCCTGTCATGCAAAGCCGCATGTGACAGACGAAGTAGCGCGTAACAGAAGATCTGCTGCGCAGCAGCGGCTTGTTCGCCTTCGCTCGTCGTGAGTTCGGAGAAGTTTTGGACGATATCTGCACAGTGGAGCGCCAGGATGGTGTAGACCTTTCGTTTCGCAATTGCTTTTGTGCCTTTGAAGTCCCCCGCAAGCAGATTGAGGGTGCTTTGAAGGACTCCTGACCGTCCGAGGGGCACAGTATGCTGCCAGCCTTCCTGGAGAGCTCGCAGGGAGAGCAGAGAGTCCGCGAGCCATGGACGGTGTGCAGCGAAGAAGTCGTCAGGAAGCATGGCATGCTGCTGCGACACAAGGGGGTGGCCAAGAATTTTAAGAAGACTTGATGCTTGACGAAGACCAACCGCCATGCCCGAGATGGTATAGGTGCTCTGCTTGATAGTATGCATGGTAGACCTTCCGACCAGAAGCTCCAATGTCCCATCCTCCGGTAGCGTGACCTGTAAAGACTCGTCCCGTCCGTTCATAATCGTATTCGTGTCTCTCAGTCGCAGCAAAAGCGCTATAGGATGTTAGTGGCGGTCAGGACTTCGGGAAAATGGCTTCTGCCGCTCATCATACCATTTGCAATCTCTCGAAGATACACCGTAATTGAGGACACCAGACACCACAGGGAATTATCGGATGAAAGCATGTCAAGCAGCTCATAGAAGAAGGTCTCTATGTCGGCTGTTAGGTCGAGGCAGCGGCTGTGACCAAGCAGACGCAGAATCTTAGGGAACACCCAGATCCACAGCGGCTCGTCGCCGCGCATTTCAAAGGGCGCTTCCGCAGTCTTGTACGCCAAGACAGCCGGTGTCTCCTTTATTATGAGCTTCAGGAAGCTGATCGCTTGGAGGACCTCGCTTTTCAGGTGTTTGCGGTCGAGGAATGGATCGTTCAGCTTGATGCCGCCGAGGACTGCTCGTATGAAGACATATGTGAGAAGGTGATTATGTCGCAGTTGATCTTCGGACGTCTTGAGGATGCCGGGGTTGTTTTCGACTTCCTGGATCGTCGCCGAGAGTTTTCTCAGCTCGCTGTTGTCGTCGGATCGGGACGATTTCGTCGACGCAGAGATGTTCTCCACAAGCTGCGCGGCGAGTGTGGAGGGAGGGGCATGGCCGCCAGACACGCCAGTTCGTGTCGCCATGTCGTTTCTGGCATCGTCTTGTTCTCTGCCGGGCGTTACAAAGCTGTCGTTGGATAGCAAAACCGCAAGTTGGGGTGTAGTCATTGCCAATCGCCAACTGAACGCGCTGGGATGGTGGGGTTCGAACGGCTGAGGAGCACGCGCGACACGAGGTCACGTGGCCACTTACATGGATGTGTCCTTGCCTTTGAGCTCCCTCCATCTTGTCCTCGACAGGCTGCCACACCAAACCCATTTCTTCTCTGAGCAGGGAGCGCGAAGTGTCCCGTAATTCTCAATAGCTTAGGTTAATGACACCTCTCAGAGCGCTGCTTCGATCAGAATGGCCGCACACTCTCAAAAAGTGCAGTGTTGTTGGCGCAAACCATCATCCTGTAGTCTGGCATGATAGACTCGCCATATTCACACAACGGCTGACTGTAGGTGAGGCGCTGACAAGCTGATACCACAGTAGCTAGCCAGCGAGAAAGTTGTCATGCCACAAACTGTATTCAGTCCAGCCACTACTACATTAATCTCAGACCGCTCCCACTTGCTGGTAAAGTCGGAGCGTTATGATACTCTACCGGACATGTTGCAGCGGCAAGGCTCATGTCGTCACAAGCTGACAGTGGGGCATGTCATCGACGCCCTGGCGCCCTTGTCTGTGATTGTTGCTAATCCTTCCGCTGCCCTGTTCGCCATGGCCAATCCTTCATCTGCCCTGTTCATGACTACCGCTGTTGCTATCGACCAAATGCATCGTCATGGATACTCTTGTCGAGATTGAGGAACGCGACGCATGATGCTAGTCGCGCTCTTGGTGTGCAAATGGCAAAAGATTCCTTCAACCTGCCAAGTACGGTGATAGCTAATAAAACATATGGAAAGTGACCATGAAAGGTACCTAGGTATTTAAGGCAGGTCCGCACTCCTCAGACTGGTGAAGCACATCAAAACTTAACATTCCCAGCTTTGCATCAAGTTTGAGCACGATGGACTCGAAAAGCCCTCCTTCGGATCCTGCGAATATGGCTCTGCAGGCTGCTGCTTTCCAAGTGAGCCCCGCCATCGAACTCCAACCGATATCCGCACCACGACCCGTTGGCGCTGCAAAGACATTTCATCCTGACGATGTCACACCCGCAGCTTCTGGCCTGTTAGCGAACGAATCTACCCAACCGCCCTCGCGAGATCCCGCGCCTCCAGGCCCTGTGCCGGACACCACCAAGCTCCAAATCTCCAAGGCGAAAGGCATCACCGTAATCGTCACACTCGCCGGCATGAGCTTCCTCAACACAATGGGGTCCGGCATCCTGACAGCGGCCCTGCCTCGTATCTCTCGTGACGTGGGCCTCTCGGAGGCGCTGATCCTGTGGCCGGCAGCCGTCTACGCCCTCGCCGCCGGTTGCCTGCTGCTCATTTTCGGGGCCATCGCCGACGTGGTGGGGCCGAAGCAGATGTGGGTGACGGGCAGCTTCTTGTTCATCGTCTTCACCGTCGCCGTCGGCCTCGCGCAGACGGGACTGCAGCTTATCCTGTTCCGGACCATGCTGGGCGTCGCCATCTCCATCTGCCTGCCGACGGCGGTCAGTCTCATCACCAACACGTTCCCTCGCGGGACATGGCGCAACGTCGCCTTCGCCATGAACGGCGGGGCCAGCCGCTGGGCTACGCGCTGGGCCTCGTGCTGGGCGGCATCTTCACGGACACGATCGGCTGGCGCTGGGCCTACCACATGATGGCCGGCATCAACCTCTGCCTGTCGCTAGCCTCGATCTGGTCGCTGCCGTCGGTTCGTCAGGCGTCGGAGAAGAGGTGGACGCGACGCCTCGTCAAGGATCTTGATTGGGTGGGCGCTCTCATCATGAGCGTCGCCCTCGGGGGGCTCCTCCTCTACGTCCTGGCCATGACGTCTTCCTCCTACAGGATGCTCAGCGATGCGCCCAATATTGCGCTGCTTTCCATATCCGTCTTTCTGCTGGCGAGCTTCCCGGCTTGGATGGCGTTTCAGACGCGGAATGGCGGGCCGGCACTGCTTCCCAACCGGCTTTGGCGAAACGCGGCCTTTACCTCGGTTTGCCTGTCAGTGTTTTTCTGCTGGGCGGCCCTCAACGGGGTCCAGTATTTCACGACCCTCTAGTATGTATATGTATCATGGCGTGGCCTCGTCTAGCCCATTGACCGCCGCTGACGAGACGCCAGCTTCCAAGAGGTACAAGGGACGTCCGCCATGACAAGCTCGTTGCAGTTCCTACCGCACGTCGTCGCGGGCGTGCTCACCAACATCGCCACGGCGTACCTCATCTCGCGGGTCAAGGTGCAGACGCTAGCCGTCGTGTCAGGCATCATCACCGTTGCGGCGCCGGTCCTCATGGCGACGGTGCCCATTGATTCATACTACTGGCACGCGCCTTTCTGGGCCCTGGTGCTTTCCCCGATCAACCCTGATGGTAAGTTTCACTTTCCCTCGAGGAGGCCCGCATGGGTCGAGACGTATGCTCACCCAGTGTGCAGTCTTTTTCACCGTGTCGAACCTCGTCATCTCGGATGCCTTCCCGGCAGATCTTCAGTCGCTGGCGGGGGGCGTTTTCAACGAGGTCGCCCAGTTTGGCAATTCAGTCGGCCTCGCGGCTACGGCGGCCATTGCAGCATCAGTATCTGAGCACTCGGGGATCGAGAACCGAGAAGAACGGCTAATGGCAGGATATCGTGCGGCGTTCTGGACCATGTTCGCGGGCACGGTTGCCGTTGTGATCATTGTCAAATTGGGGCTGAGAAAGGGGGGCACTGTCGGCAAGAAGGACGTGTAACAGTGCTTTGGGTTTCTGTAGAATACCAACCGTCACCCAGAAATGACAAGAAGAATCGATCATGCAATGGGAAGCCACAAAGCCCGTCGAGTGAAGTCCTCGCATAAACATACCTAGCAACGCAACAGGGATTAGGGAGATTCAGGGGTGATCGACGATCAGCAACATTACGACGTATTGCAGAAATCAAGGAAGCAGATCAACCAGATGCTGCGTGTGCGGCTCTTGCGGGAGGGGCCCTCCTTAGTTTTCCGTACTTGGCTTGTGGCGGTACGGGGACAGGGAGAGGGGCCTGATCGCCTTGGTGGGGGGGACATGGAGACCGATGACATGGTGATATCGCGCCCGACGTGCTGTCAGTGAGGGGAAAGGGAAATAGGAGGGGATGGTTGCATCTGTCACCAGATGAGTCTATGGATCACCCGACCTATGCAGGGATACCTCGCAGGGCTGGACCGTTGACTGGACGGACCTGCTTCCACTGACGCCACATTGGGCTGACGAGGAGAGGTTCCACTCACCCCAAAAGATCCAAGACTCGTGAGTTTGAGGAAGAGTGTTGATGGAGGGAATGGACAGGCTCGTAGCCTCGTCATGTCGGTTCGGGCAACGTCCTTTTGCGTCGCAGAAGAGTCGCTTTTCATGGAGCCATGAGACATTAACCTTGGGCAGTGTCGTGCTTTGTGATACAATAATGTACGTTTGGTCTGCTTCACCGCAAGAGTGTGTAGCTACGACCTGCATTGCATGCGTGCTGCAGTGTCTGTCTGTGGCAAGGCGGCCCTGCATGCTAGGTCCTGAATGAGGGCCTAAACGAGACAGCAGTTGACTTTTCCCTTCAGCAAGAACAGCTGGCAGACGCCCTGGAATGAAATGTCCTCCCACCACCACCAGGCAGGATGGGATGGGATGGGGTGTGGCTGATGATAGTCTTGGCGAGGAACCACGACTACCTCCTCGATGGCTGCGTGTATTGGATGCACCGCATGCCCGTCGGTACTGTCATGTGTAAGATTCTACCCACCTCACCCATCTTGTCTAAGAAAGGCGCTTTGAAGTCCTTAATTTTGACGCTTGCCTCGCCCTGCCAACCTTTGAGCCACGAACTAAAATGCGAAAACAGGCTTTGTACGAAACGCACGAGCAACAGTACAGATACCTGCCTTCCTCGAGGTACCTGCCTAGGTAGGCCAATGCATGGCATCACCCGTGCTGGCATTGCACAACTTGCCTGCCTCACTCGCCGCTCCTCTTCTTTCATGGGTGACGCAGGCTGCCTCCTTCCCTGGTACCTTGCTCTTATTGTGAAGCCGGCTACTGTCCGTCAGTAGCACCTGCGGCCAGGCGCGTGGGAGGTGTGGCGGGGCAGCCGTAAGATCCCGATGGGGGAGGCATATTATCCACTCGAGGAGCATCTGCTGCGCCGCCGAGCACCACACGCTTGCAGCAAGTACGACCACCCCGCACCTGCTTGACCTGCTACGCTATTGCGAGCGAGCGCCATGCCAAATAAGCAGCTGGGTTGTAGGTGGTACGTGGAACCTAAAGTGCCCGTGCACGTACCTTCCTTCAATCGCGCGACCCAAACGCCCCGGTTATTCGGTATGAAATCCCCGTCAGGCCCGTGTTCCCCCTGCGTCGACGCCAAGCGACGCGTTATCGGCGTTTTGGCCAATCGAGGGACCTCCTGACCCAGATGGGACCCACTACACGTGTGGTCCCCCGCTCGGCGGGGTATGTACTCTTTACGGGCTGTTTACAGGGCAGGCAGGCTTGGCGGGGGGAGATCGAAGGAATGGGAAGAACGGATGTAGGTTGACGCGGCGAGCTGTGACGACAAGGCCCAAAGTTTCCCATCTTGACGCCAGCACCAGACCAAGACCAGTCGCCCAAGTGTGAGCTACTTATTCCTGGCCTTGGCAGACCACACGACCACACGACCGCGCAAGTCCATGACCCCGCGGTGACGGCGTCCACTCTCCTCACAAGTTGCCTCTACCTACCTTCCTCCGAGGTGCTAACCTGGGTCATTGCCTACCTTACCTTTAGGTACCTACCAAGGTAGGTGCTATCTAATTATTGACCGACCGCCTGCGGGATTGGAATTGTATAGTGCCCCGGCTCTCGGCATCAATGTATGACCACCTCGTACCACCTGCGACTTGCTCTCTCTGTGTCTCTCTCTGTCATCTTCGGTCTTTCCCTCTCTCTCAGCTACCGATATTCGCACCTCTCCCATGGGTCCTATCCGCCGTCGAAATTACCTTGGCAACAGGGGCCTACAGCAACCAGCAACACGTAACACATACATGCCAACCTGCCGCCGTTGTCTTTGACCTTGTCTTGCTGCTTGTCCTGCTTGTCTTACCCACTCGGCTCCTCCCTGTGGATAAACCAGGAACACCCCCAAACAAAAAAAGGACCTGCACTGGCACCCGCACTGGCACCCGCACTGGCACCCGCTTTCGATCCGCCCAACTGTGTCGGGTTTATCCCCGCCGACCCAGCCTTTTTGGCCAGCCGTGTCGGTCACCTTTCCTCGCCTGGCTGGGCCGCAGCTTGGTCTTGGTCTTGGTCTTGGTCTTGGGTGGTCTTGGTCGAGGCTGGGCGTGTCTTGTGTCTCGCGCCAGGAACACGGCCAGTAGCGGACAAAACGTCACATCTCCTAGAGGTCTCCGCCGAACGACGCGCCAGTGCCCCAAGGCCGGCTCCTCGGCGCACCTTGTTCGCTGTCTTGTCACCCTGTCACTCTTGTCTGTTCTGGCCCGCCCCTTCTGCCTGCTTGCGCCGGCGATCCGATCTATAAGGAGAGAAATAGGCCGCTATCGTGACAATTTAATCCCCCCCCCCCCTCCCACCTTCCCGCCTTACTGTCCCTGGTTCCTCACACCCACGGACATATTTCGTACAATTCATGTGCGTATATATATCTATATGTATATATATATCTTTATGTATATATATGTATATATATTTATATCTATATATCCCGACCACCATCCGCCCCCCTGCCCATTGACCTCAAAAGGTGAGCTGCAGACCCCTCTCACGTGGCCCCGCACCACCATCACATCAGATGTCGACACTCGATGGGGGCGGGAGGGCAACCCTGAAAGGGGCATTCCACCCACCATCCTGCCCCTTCGGCTTGACCTGCTGCCAGCCCCAGAGTAGAGTAGGCTGTCGGCCGCTCGGCTGGATCATGCAGCCAGCAGTGACCAGGAGACGGTCGGCTTTGCCTTAATCGCGCCGATCCCTGCGTAGGTCTGCTAACCCCCTTCCTCTTAATAGAAGTCGCGATTGTCTCAGCACACGACACCTCTGCCACCACACCCGTCTCACGCAGACGATCACCTGTCCTCCCTCTTCAAGCCGTCGAGGCTGGCAGGCACTGGAACGTCGATAACAGAACTAGTCCGGGCGGTATATCCTACGCTCGCCGCAATCTTTCTCACTCGACCTGCCCGAGCCTGCGAGCGAACCCTTTAGCCACAGCACTCGAACAAGTTGTCACAAATGAAACGCAGCTGCTGGACAGCTTTCTGACACCATGACCGCAACTATGGCTGCCTCGCTGGACAGCCGCCATTTCTTCCCCACGCGCGCAGATGCTTTGACGGCCGAGGACTTCGAGACGGCTTCTATTCGCTCGGCCGCTCCATCATACAGTGAGTTGCGCTCCTCTAGCCAGTGCATCCTGGCCTGAATACCTGGAGTCCTTGCGACAGTCCCAAGCTCATGACAAAATCTTTGCAGTCTCCGAAGCTCCCTCCTACCACTCGGTCGCTCCTTTCCCTGAAGCGATCCCTCCTTATACCCCGCCGGGTACGACAACCACCCTGCACAGCACCAACACGGCCCAGCCTCAGTCGAGAAGCCTCATCCCGGATGTCATCAACCCGCGCGAGACCCCCCGGCAAACCACCGGTCTGCCCCCCATTCCGCCTCTGGGGGCCTCCGCCCCGCGCCTCAGCCAGTTCCAAATTCCCACCTGGTCAACCGTCCGCGCAAACCCCTGTTACCTCAACGTCGCCCGCCGCCGCGCCAACTCGGGCAACAATGACTCTGTCGCCTCCATCCGCCGTGCAATGCTTCTCGATCGCGTGCTCGAGGATGAGGACTTTGCCCCTTCGATGCCCTCTTCTTCGTCGTCCTCGTTGCCTGCGCCCGGTCCCGCGTCCTCTTCCGCTTCTGCTTCGTCCCCATCTTCATCCTTTAGCATGCGCCGCCACCTCGAAGACCCACACCTTGTCGGCGAGGTTGCTGCCGCCGAGGCAAAGCGCAAGAGGCTGGCACGCGAAAGAGGCAACGACATCCTTGTCGCGGAGGACAGGCAGTGGAACTTCTTCCTCGGTAAGCTTTTGCTTTTTTCTTTAAAGGCCGTGGCGGAAAAAGAATTCTTGCTAACATGGTGGCGTGCAGCGCAAATGGGTGATATCGAGGAACGTGACCGCAGCCTGCCCCGCACCCGTCGTTCTCCGGAGCCTGTGCAGCGGCGCAAGCCGGCCCGCCGTCTCGCGGGACGGCTGCTGTGAGTGAATCGTATGTGTGTGTGAGTTGCGTGCTTGAGACACTTGAAGCCTTTTAGTGTCCATACGGTATGCCTGATGCCAGAAACGCTGAACATGACTTATGGCTTTTTCCTTCTGCGTGGATCTGAGGGCCGAAAATTCGGGTTGGATTTTTTCTTCTTTCTTGCCTTGCCGCGTTGCGTGCATCGGGTATGGCGTTCCGTTGCGTTTCTCTGGGTTGCGACTTTCTTTCTGATGGCGCCTCTTTTGAGCTGATCAAGCGTCGAGCACGACGTGTTCACTTCCAAGTCCCATGCTGAAGCGACTGAGGTCCAGGGAGGCCTCGAGTCGAGATATCCTTTCTCTGTGGGGTGATTTGAGATTGCTTCTTCCCGAGTCATTTTTCTCACGCAAGGAATTATCTAGGAGTTAGGCATATGATGGGGCTCCGGCCGCAAATTGCATGAATGAGTACGTAGAACGGCAGATGAAGATACGACAAGATCTGTTGAAACTCAATCCGTTAGCACCGTGACATGTACGTGATCAGCTCATTTGTCCTTACATGAGAAAAATGTGCTTGCTTGAGGGGCTCGTTGATTACTATGAAGAAATCAGCCGGGGAAAGCGCTCAACATGGCCATCCCGCCAGTCACGTTGCATCCGCGACTTGGGTGAATCCGTGTGCTTGCTCTTCTCGGTCAGCTAGCCGCAATAATTGTACATGTTCTTCCTGGAAAACGCCGTTGCCATATGCAGCTGTCCTCTGTCAGGACAGCCCCCTTTCTCCAACAGCGGGCCCCGTGAGCCGGCCCCCCTTCCTTCCCGGGCGTCCGCCGCAGCCCTCGTTCGGGTAAGATGTACATTGAGTGTATGTCGAGTCGGTTCGGTGACATCGTCTCCATTAGACAGCATGGTTGACTAGATCATGTCTCGTGTGTTGTGTCCTGCCTTTGTCATTGTTGTCGTCCCTTCTTCTTCTCCTGCTCCGAGTCGTTTTCTCGTCTAGCCCGAGCTTCGGGTGTTGAGGATCAGGGCGACAATGAGACTGCCGATTCCTGGCGTTAGCCTCGCAGACTTGTACACGCCAGAGAAACGTAGCGAAGAAGAAAAGGAACAACTAGGGGGCAAAAACGTACCCGTAAAGACCGAGGACTTCGCCGAAAATGAGAATGAGGACCATGCCGACGAAGACGCGGCTCTGCTCCATGTAGGCGCGCACGCCCTTATCGCCAACGACACCGATCGTGTAGCCCGCCGCCAGACCTGTGAGGCCGACGGAGAGACCGGCGCCGAGGTGCATGAAGCCACTGGAAGGAAAGGAGATTTGGTCAGCACAAGGCCCCGGGTACCGCCAGATGATGTCGTGGGCAGACAAGAGGGTCAAGGGACGCACTCGAATAAGCTGTAGTGTCCGCCGGAGCTGGGAGGGACCAGGTCCTGGGCGATGAGGACGGAGATGACGAGCGCGTAGACGGCGATGATACCGGACATGACGACAGGGATGAGGCACTGTAGATTGGAGAGATCGAGTCAGCCGTTGAGCTCCCAGTAGGAACGAGAAGGAGATAGAAATAGAGGGGGGTCATGCCTTCATGATCAGGTCTGGCCTGAAGGTGCCAACGCCCGCGATACCGATGCCGGACTTTGCGGTGCCGTATGCTGCACCAATGCAGCCGAAGATCATGGCGCCCGCGATGCCAGCCTAGATGATTGGTGGTTCGTCAGTAGCCGGTCGGATGTTTGAAGCTCGCGGGGCGGCCAGCGCGAGGGGGAGAAGACTGGGCGGCCGTGGAAAGCATACCATTCCGATGAATGGGGCGAACTTGGGCGCCTGATCAGGGTTGGGGTCTTCGATCATTGTGATTCGGAAGGTCTCGATCAAAGACGCTTGTGAGGTGGGATGCGTGACGAGAGTGCGGCGTGAGTCGTGCCGGATGGTAGGCGTCGCGGGATGCGGGATGCTTGTCGTCGGCAGCTGTCGAAATGCTGCTACCTGGATCTTGGGAGTTGGTTCGCGAGCTTTGGTGGTGACGAAGCCAATCAGGGAACAGGAGCTACTCGCAGGGAGGTGTCGTTGGTGGCATCACGTGACACGGACCAAGTCAGCCAGCAAGTTGATGAAGTGGAGAGAGAGCACCATGTTCCCTACTGGTCACAGTAGCTCGTCAGTTGTTCAAGGTCTCATTGAAGAGAGAACATAGAAGGACAGCTCATTTGGTATTTCCTTTGAGGATATGATCTGTATCGGTAACTTCTCTGATCCGTGGTCTGATGGGATGGGCCGGACGCACTCTCGCTTTTGTCTTGATCCGTGCTGCTGTTGTTGCGCAACATGTTCCCAAGGTGCTCAGGAGGACCTGCGGTACTTGAGAAGTACAACGTCACAACAGCCCCCAAAACCTGCCGAACCCTTGCGGCCGCATCAGGCACAATACAAGTACATCGTCTCAAACCCAAGCCCATCCAATTAGGGCGTTCCCAACCAATCTCACCTCACCTGACCACAGGTACTGCCCTTGGGTACCTAGGTACCTAGGTAAGGTAGCGAACTAGACGGGCGGTCGTTGAGCTGGGACGAGAGAATAACCTTAGATGGTCATGCATAGTCGAATTCATGATTAATCTTATCCGTACCTGATTGAAAAAAAAACCAGGGCGCCGAACCGGGGTGGGGACAGAGCTGGAGACCCCTCTGGAAGCCTGTCTTAGTGTGCATTGCGTACCTACTCATTCGGTGGACCACGAGGCCGGGGTCAGGTTGCAGATACAGATAGTCCTTTTCTGCATTGCATCTTGACTGACCATCTTTCTACGGAGGACGCTGCCAACCCTTCTACAGCACTACCTTGGGCCAACCTTACCACCAGTCCACCCACCCAAACCCTCGTCTTCGAACGTCTGAGTCCACACCACCGGCTCTTCCGACCTACACCCTCTCCGATGCCGATAATCTGAACCATCTTCTGGAGCTGCAGGAACACCGTTGCTCCCGCCTTGGGCCCGATTGATTCCTCCTTGTCGCGGATTCATCATCTCCTGCCGACCGTCCGACCGACCGACCGACCCACCATTCTCGCCAACCCACGACAACCCCCAAACCTTGATCGGCACCATAGGCCATCAACAAAGGGGGAAAAAACGCACGAGGCCTTTTGCCGCCGCCGACCCTCTCTGTGAATCCGCACAACGTTGACAGCGCGTCGGTCTGCTAGCCAAGGCGCAATCACCATACCCCGAGACGCCCGCGCTCAGCCCGATACTGAGATAGCCAGCTTGCGATACACAGTCCCTCCCCCCCCTTCCCCCCCGACGGTTTTGCCTTGCAACACCGTCGCCGGCCTCTGGGGGTTTTCATGAGGTAAGCCACACACTGTCCATGCTCGCCTTTGTCAGCTCTCCACCTTCTCGTCCCTTCTCCAGCCCAAGAGATCCTTCCTGGCATGGAAAGCAGAAAACTGACTGCGGCCTTTGCTCCCCTGATCCAGGTGCAGCCATCATGTCCGACTACTATCAACGCGACCCTCGTGGTCACCCCTCGAGCAGTCAACGAGATGCCGCCTTTTCTAACATATTTGGCGCCGTCCCGCCACCCGGTCGTTCGCAGACCATGACCTCCTCCTCCGTGCCCCCTCAGATGATGTCTCAGGGTAGGACCCAGACCATGCAGTCCAACATGTCGGGCATGCCACCCCCTATGCAACGACAACCGCCGCCGCGTCAGCCGATCCCTAATCAGTATGGCGACCGACAACCACTATCGCCGAGGACACGAACCATGGACGGAGATGCCAGCGCTGGCGGTGTTTACCCCGGACAAAGGTCCATCTCGGGAGGATACCAAGTCTCGTCTCCGCAGTCACAATATCTCCAACAGCAGCAACAACAGCGCCGGTATGGTGGCCCGCCGCCGCCTCGACCCGACTCCCGTGGTGCTCCTCAAGGAGCCGCCGGAGCGAGAACCGCCGCTCAGCGCTTCCACCAAGGCGGCCCTGCCCCGAGCATGAACAACGACCCCTATCGCTCCCAGTCTCTTGCGTCAGCACCAAGACAGCCGCAATATCAGCCCCCTCCCAGCGCCTACCAGCAACAGGCGCCTGCCAACGCGTTCCGTCATGCTCCCTACAACCCCAACTCATCACGAACAACGGCCCAGGGACGCGTTGTGCCCGAACGCCACGATGACCGATCCATGTCCATGACCGGCGGATTTCCCCCCCAGGAACGAGACGGCCAGCACAGCTCCTACCAGACCATGAGTGGCCGAGTCATCCCCAACCGTAGGGCTCCTGTGGAGCTACCGACGAGCAACAGCATGCCAAACACCGGTTACTCGAACGGAGGCTACCCCCCAGCGCCGGGCTCACAGACCAGGACCACGAGCATGGTGTCCTCAAGCGCCGACACCCAGAGAACAATGTCAATGGCCTCGACTATCACGATCCCAGTCACACCCGCCGATTCCGACACTACGCTTGGGCACCGACCGTCCATGAGCACGAAATCCGTCAAGTCGACCGACGGTGAGCGCCCCCCCACCGGGAAAATCAGGGCACCTCTGGTTTATCCCGCCATGCTCTCCAGAGTCGCCGAGTGCTTCCAGCACAAGATCATCACGGGAGACCGCACCAAAAACGAGCTGGCATACAAGAGCGCCTTCAGCGGCGCGGAGGCAGTGGATGTTCTTTCGTACATCATCAGGACCACCGATCGCAATCTGGCTCTTCTTCTGGGTCGTGCGCTCGATGCGCAAAAGTTTTTCCACGATGTCACCTACGAACATCGTCTACGCGACTCGACATCGGAAATGTACCAGTTCCGCGAAACCCTGACCGATCAACCTGACGACAACCCCGTCAACGGTGTATTTGTACTCTTGTCCGAGTGCTACTCACCCACGTGCACGCGAGATAACCTTTGCTACTCGATCGCGTGCCCCAGGAGGCTAGAGCAGGTTTCCAGGCTCAACTTGAAGATCCAGCCCGGCTTGAAGAAGGAGGACAGCGCAGTGGCCGACGCCGATGATGTCGACCAAACGGACGAGCAGAAGCTCTGGATCAACTCAGTTCCTCAGGAGATTGCCGACAAGGTGGACGACAAGGAGAAGAAGCGCCAGGAGGTCATTTCTGAAATCTGCTACACGGAGCGGGACTTCGTCAAGGATTTGGAGTATCTACGCGACTTCTGGATCTTGCCTTTGCGGTCCAAGGCCTCCCCCATCCCGATCAGCCGTCGCGAGAGGGTTGTCAAGGCCATCTTCAGCAATATTATCGACCATCCCAGCTTGCACCTTGTCAGTTCACGATTTGCGAGGGCACTGACGGAACGCCAGCAGAAGAATCCCGTCGTCCACAACGTGGGAGACGTGTTCCTCGAGTTCGTCCCGCAATTCGAGCCTTTTATCTGGTACGGCTCCAAGCAGATGGAGGCGAAACACGAGTTTGAGAACGAAAAGAGCATCAACCCTTATTTCGCCAAGTTTGTCGAAGAGATTGAGCGCCGCAAGGAATCCCGGAAACTGGAACTCAACGGTTATCTGACCAAGCCGACGACAAGACTGGCGCGTTACCCGCTTCTGCTGGAGGCGGTGCTGAAGCACTCGGAGGAAAGCAACTCGGACAAGGAGGACCTTCCGAAGGTTCTGACTGTGATTCGCGATCTGCTGAGCAGGGTCAACCGCGAATCAGGCAAGGCCGAGAACAGATTCCACCTCAAGAGACTGCATGAGCAGCTGCGTTTCCGACCGAACGAGCGCGTCGAGCTCAGGCTGACGGAAGAGGGCAGAGAGATTGTCTTCAAGAGCCAGCTGAGGAAGACGCCGCACGACTCATCTCCCGCTAACGAAATTACATCCTACTTGTTCGACCACGCGGTCCTGCTCGTGCGGGTCAAGCAGGCTGGCAAGGCCGAGGAAATCAAGGCGTACAGAAGGGTGAGTTGTCCGTGCCTGCGCGTGTGAGCCCGCGGGTGCAGCCACAGCAATACTGACATGACGTGTAGCCGATTCCTCTGGAGTTGTTGGCGATTCGCGAGATGGACGAAGTCATCCCTCAGCAAGGGGTCAAGCGCACTTCTTCGAGTCTTCTCCCGCTGGGTGGCAACAACGCCAAGGACGGCAAGAAGAGCGAAGGGTGGCCGATCACGTTCCGCCATTTGGGCAAGGCAGGATACGAGCTGACGCTGTACGCGGCCAACCAAGCGGGGCGTGACAAGTGGCTGCAGTTCATCGACAAGGCGCAGAAGCAGCTGAGGGCGAGGGCCGACTTTTTCAACACGACGGTCATCTCGAGCAACTACTTTGTGGGCGCGAACCAGATCAACTGCGTGACGCCATGTGACGGTGGTCGCAAGCTGATCTACGGTACGGACACGGGCATCTACGTCTCGGATCGCAAGAACAAGGACATGATGCCGAAGCGGGTCATCGAGACGGCGGTGGTGACGCAGATTGACATCCTCGAAGAGTACGGGCTGCTGCTGGTGCTCACGAACAAGGCGGTGTATTCGTATGCCATTGCAGCGCTGGATCCCACCGAGCCGGCTTCGTCGAAGCGAGGCAAGAAGATCCAGAGCCACTGCACGTTTTTCAAGACGGGCATCTGCCTGGGACGGCACCTGGTCTGCTGTGTCAAGTCGTCGGCGCTCTCGACGACGATCAAGGTGTACGAGCCGACGGACGCTTTCAACAAGGGCAAGAAGCAGAAGGGGTTCGGCAAGATGTTTGCGGGCCAGGACGAGCTCAAGCCGTTCAAGGAGTTTTACATCCCGACCGAGTCGTCGTCTGTGCACTTTCTCAAGAGCAAGCTCTGCGTGGCGTGCGCGCGGGGCTTCGAGGTCGTGTCGCTCGAGACGCTCGAGACGCAGTCGCTGCTGGACCAGGCCGACACGAGCCTCGACTTTGTGGCGCGCAAGGAGTCGGTCAAGCCGATCCACATTGAGCGGCTCAACGGCGAGTTCCTGCTCAACTACTCCGAGTTCTCGTTCTTTGTCAACCGCAACGGCTGGCGCGCGCGGCCCGAGTGGCGGATCGACTGGGAGGGCGCGCCGCACAGCTTTGCGCTGAGCTACCCGTGGATCTTGGCGTTCGAGGCCAACTTTATCGAGCTGCGCAACATTGAGAACGGGGCGGTGCACATTGTGCCGCACAAGAACATCCGCATGCTGCACAGCAGCACACACGAGGTGAGTCGATGGTCATGACATGCTTTGCAAGCCACGCGAGAGGGGAACTAACACGGCTCGTCTTAGATTCTGTTTGCGTACGAGGACGAAAAGGGAGAGGACGTTGTGGAGGCGTTGGACTTTTGGAAGAACAACAGGCGGTCCGAGCTCCCTCCGCCACAGTCTATATGAAGGGGAGAGGGAGATCCACTGGCAAGCAGCGAGAGGGGGGTGGCGAGAGAGCAGGACTGTGTAGGTGAGAAGGTTCAGGATTGTTGTTCCCCCCCCCCCTCTTGGCGCGACGCAAGAGCGTGCTTCGTTGGCTTGGCTGCAAGACGAGGAGGGGGGGGAATGGGCGACAAAGCGTGGCAGGATTTTTCTCTTGTGTGTTTTTGAGTAGAGGTGGATTGATACCAGCGGTACAGCTACAGCCTTTGCGTTCATCCACAGCCACCGACCCGTCCCCGATTTTTTTTCATCATCAGCATCGTCATCATTATCATCATGGCGGGCAGCAAACGGGATCAATGGACTGGGAAGGGAAGGCAGGGGGGGCGGCAGCGAGAGGAAGAGAATGCGCGAAGGAGACGACTGGCAGGGGGGCTGAGGTCATGGCAGAAGACGCGAAGACGAAGGTGGAGGCTGAGGCAGAGACAGAGGCAAAGGCCGAGGCAGAGGCAGTGGCAGAGACAGACACGAAGGGCCGTTTTGTTGGTCAAGACGTGTTTTGAATAATTGCACCGTACATGGCATGAGGCACGCTCTTCCCGCCCCGCGCCTCCAGACTTTTTGATGGTGCAGCCCTGCCGACAAGAGAGACAGACGCGTAAGGGACCGGAGATCGGTGAGGGGATCCGCGATCCACGTTGTACCATGTAGGGGCGTTGACAGGAACCTCAAGGCGTGTGGGGCCGGCGGGCATTCTTGGGCGCAGAGAAACGTCCAGGTCCCAAGTCAAGTCAACAGTCAAGTCAACAGTCAAGTCAACAGTCAAGTCAACAGTCAAGCAAGGGCTGGTGCTGAACACTCCCCACCGTGTTCCTCTCGTTTCGGATGCCAGGCTCGGCATCTGACTCGGAGCCCGGTCACCGGCTCCGTTGGATTCCGTCGAGAGCGGGGGGGGGCCCCGATAGGATAGGAGAGAGCAATCTTCTTTGATGCCCATGTCCCCCCCTCCCCAGATGAGGAAGCAAGGTGGGGGGAACATAAAAAATCAAGAAATGCGTCATCGTCTCATGATGTTGTGCTCACAATTAGAAGCACTGCTTGCAGACGCAGAGCGACGCAGAGATGAAACGAAACGGGTCAATGGCATTATCCAGCACGGCCACCACAGTCTCTGAACCCTGGGGTGTGAAGAGAGAGAGAGAGAGAGGCAGAGAGATCCATGGGCAGGCGGGGCGAGAAGGAAAAGTGGTGTGATGATCATCTTGACGCGAACAGGGCGAAGCATTCACCTTGTTGCGCAGCACCCAGCTCGCGCAGCACGCAGTACCAACGGGGGAGCAGCTAGACAGCGAAGCTAGCAGCGCTGTGTCAAAAAATAGGTCAGACCTGCGCCGAAGGGCAGTGTGCGCTTGGCACCAAGTACAAGCGTCCACTTGGCATCCCCCTTGGCACCACAGCAAGCGTTGAGATTGGGTTGGCCAGGGGGGGGGGGGGGGGG